TAATGCACACTTCTTTTTAATAGTCATCAGAGCTTTGATATTTTCTAAGTAATCTCTATATGGGATACTTCCATAAATGGAGATGAAAATATAATAACTTTAATCCTCTTGGAAAGAGTAACTTTAAAAAAAATTCAGAATATTACAGAAGTACAAATGTTTTGGTTACATGGATTGCTTTTGCACTGGTTGAATCAAAGTTGTAAGTGTGTCCATCACCCAGATAGTGTACTTTGTACCCATTAGGTATGATTTCACCATCCCCTCCTTCCTACTCCAACCTGCATGATTTCCATTGAGTTTTACTTCCATCTATGAACATGAGTGCTGATCGGTTAGTTCCAATTTAATAGTAAGTACATGGGGTGTTTGTTTTTCAATTCTTGTTATACTTCACTTAGAAGGATAGTGGAAGATATGCTAACAATAAATATGTCCACTTATAAGACAGATTTCTGCTTTGCAAATTACTTTGCCTTTTTAAACTTTACTTATTCTCAATCTAGAAATGAATCCAGTTAATTTAAGCATATATCATAATTGCTTAATGATAGTACAGATAAAATAATAATCAACGAGGTCTCTTCTATGTATATAGTAACTACTCAGACTATATTTAAAGCTAGATGAATAATTCCAAACCATTAGAGAATCACAAGATTATCCATTTAAATGGGATCATTTTTAATCCCACTGCTTCTAGTTAGAGCTGCACCTAAAATTTTATTTTTAAAGACAGAAAACAATAGCTAAAGCCTTTCTTTTATGATTTATCATATCATATGAAAATTCAAAAATCCCCTTTCAGTGTGAAGCTCAGTGATATTTTCAGCTGATCCCATGAGATTTCATTTCACCTTTATAGACAATTGAAAAGTTTAAGTTTCTTGAATTTTGTCTTGAGTTACAGCATAGTGATAAGAAACTCTAGGGATTATAAGTAATTGACTTAAGAATTTTTGGACATATATAATTCCTAAATATTTACTAAAGCAAAACATTTTACAACACAGGACCTGTGCTAGGATGCAAAAGATGATGGAAGACAAAAGATAAGCTGGGCAAAGAAAACAGACAATAATAAAAGATATATAGTGGTTGAAAAAGTTTTAAAACTGTGTATTTTTTTTAACTTTAAGTAGAAATGGGAGGAATCTGAAATATTACTTCCTCCTTATAACCTGGATTAACCACCTCAGCCAAATTTTCTAAACTCTACTTTTTATCTGTGTCATTTATGTGCAATTAATTGTGTTTTGCTTTGTAACACCTTTCGTGTTATTGTGAACTGATTTGCCATTAGTGTTTTTAACTCATTTTCTCTGATGTATTGTAAATTATATGAGAACACTTATTAGATAATTTTTTTTTTTGAGACAGAGTCTCGCTCTGTTGCCTGGGCTAGAGTCTAGATGCCATGGGCATCAGCCTAGCTCACAGCAACCTCAAATTACTGAGCTCAAGCGATCCTTCTGCCTCAGCCTTCCGAGTAGCTGGAACTATAGGCATACACCACCATGTCCAGCTAGTTTTTTCTAAATATTTTTAGTTGGCCAATTAAATTCTTTCTATTTTTAGTAGAGATGAGTTCTTGCTCTTGCTCAGGCTGGTTTTGAGCTCCTGATCTTGAGCCATCCGTCTGCCTTGGCTTCCCAGAGTGCTAGGATTACAGGCGTGAGCCACTGCGCTCAGCAGATAATTTGACATGAAGTATTATAGTCTGAATATTTGTGTGCCCCAAAAATTCATATGTTGATACCCAAATCCTAGTGGAATTGTATTAAGAGGTGGGGTCTTCAGGAGATGACTAGGTCATGAGAACAGAGATCTCATTAATGGGGTTAGTGCCATTATAAAAGAGGCTACAAGGGAAAGCTCATTCCATATTATGCAACATGAGGAGCCAGCAAGAAGGTGCCATCTCAGAAGAGGAGAGTGAGCCCTTAGCAGACAGCTGAATCTGTGGATGCCTTTATCTTGGACTTCTCAGCCTCCAGACCTGTGAGCAATGAATTTCTATTTTTATAAATTACCAGTCTGTGGTATTGTGTTATAGCAGAAGGAATGGACCAAGACATGTAGTAACATTTTACTATTACACTTAATGTTTGTAAGTTAGTTTAAATATCTTTCCTTTTCATTGAATGCTTACTTTTCAAAGCTTTAGTAGATTTGTGTTATGTTTTGGTATTTTCTTATATTATTCTTTTTCCTTAACCTTTGAACTCCAAAAGAAAATAAAATGAAAAACTCACCACACTGAAACTATAAGACTATCCACTTCCCTGTGGATTCTAAAAACTCCAACTACTATATTCCTATAACATATTTGGCATATTTTAGGCATCAGGAAAACTAACATTTTATATGTGATTAATATCAGATAGATGTTCTGAATAGAGAAATTCTCCAATTATTAACTTCTAAGCAACTTATATAATTAAATATATCCTCAGTCTTTTGGAATAAGCAGAATTTCCTTTTATTTTACACTTTTTTTTTAGCATATTATGGAGCTACAAATGTTTAGGTTACGTATATTCCCTTTGCCTCACCCAAGTCACAGAATTTCCTTGAATTTTATATATATCTTACTATATTGGAAATATTTTTAACAATGTCTTAGTCTAATCACTACCTGTATACAATAAATAGGAAATGTCTTAGTCACCTTTTTAATATTTTTATGGCCTCATAAAGTACTCACTGCCTCTTCAATACATAAATATAATTTTTAAATTGAATTAATAAAGGATTTTGAACAAAAATATAAGTTCTTTACAGCATAATGCATTTTTTTTCTACATAGGTAAATAGTTATACAGGCCAACAATCTAGGAATGAGAAAAAATGTAATAATTCAATATCTAATAATAAGCTTGCCTGGGAAATAATTATTCACTTTTTACATAATTCTTATTTATTTTTAGTAATGCCACAGTATTACAACTTGTCTATATGAAACATAACTAAACTCAAATAGAAGAGATAAGTAAAGGACATAGGTCAATTTCTAAGCTGATTTGATTTGATTTTTACTGAAGAATAAGTGGAAACTTAGCCAGCATAGAAATAGCTGTTATTTTGAGTTATACATTATCTTGAATAAATCGATTCAAGTGACTTGTTATAGCATTATCTTTTAGTAAAATAGTTATATTTTCATGTCAAAATTAGAAAATCAGCAACTCTTCTTTCAAAGTATAAGTAAATGGGCAATCTACATATGTGTTAAAATAAAGCCCAATTAAATATTAGAACAGAATTGTACACAGTGTAGAAAAAGTAGGAATATATGATAAAAAACAAAAAAATACAAGTGTCATTGGATAATTTATAAGAACTGAGAGTTTGTTTATTCATTGTTACTGTTTGTTGCTTGTAATAATATAACGGATTGGGATTGACTTTAATAAATTATCTGTAAAATCTTAAAATATGCATTAATTTTTTGGCTACAGTTAAAATTTATTTTACAATAACACATAAATTGTTTAATCATTACATTCATACATTATATAAATATAGTCTAAATCTTACGAGTTAAAACATGTTGACTGATAGTCTTGTGCTGATGTGTTTTTATGTTATTAAATATCTTGTATTTAATAAAGGCACATACTTTTTTCTTTTTGAGACTCAAGGCACTTTTATTAATCCCTTTCCTTCTTCATTACTATCATTACATAAATTACTTACCCGTTAGTGATTCAGTGATTCATTTGGATTAAGAATAATATTCAAGTATGATATCTCCATAACTTAAAAACAAAGCATTTGCTTCTGCAGGTATTTTTCATTTCTGACTAATCTGCACGACTTTCAGTGTTCAGCACATATGGAAATAGTTCATAATGAAAAGAAACACTCCTGGGATATGAAATTGCTTCAGGGAAGAGATGTAATATTCTTTCAGAAAGTAAATAAATTTCCTGCGTCTGTCCTCTGATGTGGATTCTAGTTAATATCTACAACCTGTTCTGTCAATACTAATGATCAGAGCATTTATCAGAGACACGATAAAGGAGACAACGTACACAGACAAAAATCTATTAACTTTCCTTAGCTGGTCAAAAGAAATCAAAGAAAGACTTCCTGAGAAGGGGAGAAGGCATAGATTAGATCTCTCCGGCTACTACTCAATCTAATGAGCTGTTTAGGAGCTTACCATAAAAGGCAGTCTCAGATAGATAGATGTAAGAAAAAGACAAAAAGAAAAAGCAATTTGATTTTTTACAATAGTGACCATGTTTTCGGATGGTTTCTATATGATTCCCAACCTGTTACGACAAAGAAGGTGAAGAGAGTACCAAAAAAAATGGATAAGTAATAAAGAAAAAATTTAAATATGTGAAAGTAGACCAATTAAATCAATTTCTATTTAACTTAAGTCATCAAAATATGATAAAATTACAACTGATAACTTAGAATGAACATTTTATCTGGAATTCCTTCTTGCTCTACATAGGGTTTGCTAGAACTAAAATTATTCCTATGGCTACAGAAGGTAGGGGAACAAATCAAAATGTTAAAAAAAAAAGATATATCAGTAAATGCTCTTTTACAGTTATTTTTGCTTAAAAATAAAAGAGGACTCTAATTTCACTGCTATTGAAAGGATCTATTTAGAATTTTCCTTCGTATACCTGAAACTAATTTAATGTATAGGTATGCCAATGTCATTAATTAGAACTCACTGTTAAGGGAGTAATTCAAAGGAATAATTTGATCAAAATCTGTGATATTAGTAAAGCTTGGAGCAACAAGATTAATCACATTTTAATTAGTAACAATATTTCTATTTCAGAAAATAATTTTTTTCACTTTGGATTGGCCCTCCTAGTTAGAGCTACTAAATACAGCCTTCAGTTCTGATGTGGTTTTTCTCTATGTGTCCCAGAAGGCCTAGGAAGGCAAGTATTGTTTTATACACAGATACTCTTTCCACTCTGCATAGCATTCTATGAATGATGTACTTATTAACACTGTATTATTTTTATAGGCACTTTCCAAATCCTGGGTGGAGTAGACAGCAATGAAGAAAAAGCAAACCTTATTCAGAAGAAGGGAGTATTCAAGAGGCAAGAGGTGAACTACTACACAGTAAAGAACTAATGTTTTATGTCTAATGTTCATAACTTTTCTTTTTTCATTCAACAAAAACAACTGTGTCTAATATGTGCTGATTATTGTACTAGATATAGGATGTAAAATATGTACCTATATGCCATCACTGTCATCAAGAGAGTGACCTTAACCTAGCATATAGTCCTGAGAAAATGGGAAATAAAATACAAATCTATTCTTAATAGTGAAGCAGAGCTAATAATAAGATCTTCAAAATGGGTATCACCATTAAGAATTCTGGGCAATCACTGGGAATTAGAACATCGCAAACCAAAAGTCAGAATAGGAAGTTTCTAAATATAAACCTTTTTCCTTTATAATTTTTGAAGGGTTAGAGGTTGATTATAGTCAGAGTTAGATACCAAGAGTTCTGATGGAGATAAATATGATGTGAAGGTCTGACACTAATGACAGGAAGAGGTACCTGGGGGACCAGTAGGTTCACCACGTGTAAATAAAATGACTAGCTTATAGAGCAAGAGGAAAAAGGAACTACTGTAAAATGAGATATAGTATATAATGTCTACAGTATAAAACAATCCTTCATATATAGTTTGTAATCAGTGTGAATTAAATGTCAGTGTAGATATCAGTCAGCAGGTATAGAAAGTGTGTCATACCCCAGAAAATAATCTTAGGAAAATGTAGACCTCCTTAATGTCTGTGTCTTGTCTATATACCACTGTTTTCATATGGTAGATGATTACATAATGAATCTTAAGGATCTTCCTTCTATCAAAACCCATATTAGTTCATTTCTTCCTCTGTAGAAGAAGCCTTTTTCTTTTTGTATCTCCAAAAATATACTGCCTCTCCTCTTTTTATTCCTTTGTCACATTTGTAGATTCTCCTGTGCCTTTCTTTTTTCAATTAATGTAACTGCCTCAAACCTAGAGTTTCTCCACCAGCTCCAGATTTTCTCTTAGTGTGAAGAGTCTCATACTTGTTAGAGATCTCTAATGTAGGACATTTTTCCTTCCTTATTCCTTTTTTGCTCTTTTGATCCACTCTCCAGGTCCTATAACTTATTTTTTTCCACCTTATTCAAATCTTAAACTGCCTGATTTCCCAAAGAAAATAATTCAGGTATTCTGTCAAGAATCTTCATGCTCCTTGGTCAGCAGAAGAGCATCACCGCTGACCCTGTGACTGTCTGTATGTGATAAGAACAGCTTTTCTTAATCCTTAGTAGGAAGACAACATAACCACACCCTTTATTCAAGACAGTGCATTACTTTGTTCTTGTTTCATGCCTTTTAGTTAATGATAGAACCCAAGTGGGATACTTGTTTCCTGTGGTGTGATCATTTTTGGCTAATTGTTGTAGCGAACAACTTGTTTCCTCTTGGGATATGTTTATTCACAGAATCTAAGAGCTGGTATCACATGGTTTCCCTCCTTGCATTCTCTTCTAATATCTTCCTCCACTAGGCACAATCACTAGGTTATTACCAGAAAATTACCACCAATTAATACCAAATTGAGATAATTACCAGATTTTTACTTACTAAAACCTGGGGGAAAAAGTCTCCAAGTATTTTACAGATGTTCAGTAAATACTAGGAGTTAGCCACACCATCTTGTAACTATATCTTGTTTAGCAGAATTGTATTTTATCCTTGTGAACTAAGAAAATCTATTTTTGTTTTTATTCTGAAGAATTGAAATTTCTTCTATTTTTAATTATAATTAATTTATAGCAATTTAGATTACTAAAAGCAAGATGAGCATAATAATTGAAAATATTTCTTTAAAAAAAAAGATGTCATAACCACCATCATTAACAATGTCACAAATGAAGGGCCCTCTCTAAGATACTTAGAATTTCTAAAATTACATCCTTCAATGTAGTAGAAACATTTCACAATTTAAGAGTCATCTGACCTTGAGGTGAAACTCAATTTAAACAAATTACCAAATGGGTAACAGGGAAACTTACTTTCAGTACTGATCTACCACTGGCACATGTCTTGTTTTTTCACAGAGGTATTCTTGATGAAATAAAGTAATGTAAAGGCATATTTTAAAGCATAGAAGCATAGAAGTTCTTCCAATGCTAGATTTGTTTCTGTTAAATATGGCCACTGATGTTAAGTGATTTTTTGTCATTCTAACCTCTAAAATATTTCACACTTAAAATAAATCTAGAGCAGTATTTTTCAACTAATAATTCACAGTTGTCAATAATGCCATAAAATTGTTACACAGAACTCTTGCAAATAAAAGAGAGCAAAAAACATAAAATAGAAATTAAGACATTTAGATTTGAAGGAAAAAAGTGGGGGAATTTGGTTTTAGAAGACCTGTCTTATAAGAAATAAAGGGAGTCCTTTAGGCCAAAATAAACAGACATCAGACAGTAACTTAATTCTACATTAAGAAATAAAAAACACTAGTTAAGGTAACTATATAGGTAAATATTAACAGAAAACTCAGTAAAAATGTATTTGCCTTAAATCTTTTCTTTTTATACATAACTTAAAAGATAATTGCAAAAAGCAATTATTATAAAACCAAATTGATAGATTATGATATATAAATTGTATTTCATCAAAATTAAAAATTTTCATGTTTCAAAGGACACCATCAAGAAAATGAAATGACTACATGCAGGGTAAGAGAAAATCTTTGCAAGCACATATATGTAAAGGTTTTGAATCCAGAACATACAAGAACATTTACCAGTTAACAATAAAAAGACAACCTAATTAAAATGTAGGCAAAGGATTTTAATAGATGTTTCTTCAAAAATGATCTACAAATGGCCAATAAGCATATGAAAAGATGCTCAACATCATGAATTATTAAGAAAGTACAAATCAAAAGCGTGAGCTACCACTTCATACCCACTAGATTGGCTAAAATAAAGAACACAGACAATAATAAATGGTGGTGGGATGTGGAAAATAGGAAATCCTCATACATTGGTGTTGGGATTGTAAAAGGACGCTACCACCTTGGAAAGCAGTCTGGCAGTTCCTGAAAATGGTAAGCACAAAGTTACCATATGCTTCTAGGTATCCACTGCTACATAGCCAAGATACGTGAAAACACGTATCTACATAAAAACTTCTACATAAATGTATTAAGGAACATTTTTCAAAATATTTAAGAATGGAAATAATCCAAAGGTTCATCAGTAGAGGAATGGCACATAAAATGTTATATCCAATGCTATTTAATTTTATTAGCCATAAAAGGAAATGAAGCATTGACATATGCTACACCATGAATGAATCTTGAAAATATTACACTAAATGAAAGAAGTCAGTCACAAAAGACCACATACTCTATGTCTCTATTTGCATGAATGTCCAGAATCGACAAATTCATCGAGACAGAAAGTAGATTAGTGGCTGCCAGAGACTGGGAAAGTAGAGAGGGATGGTTGCTCAACTCTGTGAATATACTGAAAACAATTGAATTGAAAATTTAAAAAGAGTAAAGTTCACGGCATGTGAATTAATATTGCAATAAATAATATTTTAAGTGTTATAAAAAGGGGATTAATATCATTTTAATTTCCATTTAAATCAGTAAGACTAACATTTGATTATTTTTATTGAGAATAAAATAATTTGATAGGTTTAAGAAGATATCAAGTATACAAAGGAAATAAATGTAAAAAATCATGTGGTCATGCTAATAACTTATTCACTTGGTTCATCACTCGGGTGAACACTCCTTGTCGATATGATTATTTTGATTATTAAAGAGTTAAAATATGTTCATATTTAGTCATGTTTTATTTCATTTATATCCACCATGGTCTATTTTCTAAATAATTATTAAAATAAATAATAGATAGGAAACATAAGAAACACTGATTTTGAAATAAAAATTGGTAAGTAAAATTTAAATTGGTAAGTAAAATTGCAAAATTAAATTGGTAAGTAAAATTTGTAATTTTTCTTTAAAGACAATTTTAATAATGAGAATATAATAGAATTATTAATAAAACCATATGTGGTTAAGTGATGGTATAATGAAACCTCTATAATATTGTTCATCTACAAATGCTTTTTGTTTTTTATGATAAAAACCAGCATTATAATTAAGACAAGCTGGAACATTGTTAGTAAGTATTATAAGCCTGATTTTGTCTGGGATAAGACCTATAATTCCTATTATGCTTTCATTTTATTCTCTCAATTTAGGAAATTTTAAGTTTTGGGGAGAAATGAGTGAATAGGTAGAAATAGAGAAAATTAGAAAGAACAATTAGTACCTGGTGCTTCCACACTTTAAAAAATAGTTAATAAAGATTCAATTAGATACAGTTTTCTTAACTCTCAAAAGTATACCTGTTTTTCCTAAAAAATAAACTACCCATTATCCTGCCCTAAAAGTTTAATACATAACTGCATCTGTCATACTTTAATATTTCTTGAAGCATGTTTATAGTCTTTCTGTGACATGTAGCCCTTCACCTGTGATCCTGTGCATTTATAATCCAACATCTCAATGTGATTTAACTTAATTCAGTTCATCAAGTGTATAAAAAGGATTTATATACAGAGTAGACAGTAATATAAGAATCCTGTCTGAGATAAATCTAGTATGCTCATGCAATTGAATAGTACTCCTCATTAAACTCTCATTAAGCCCTATCAATGACAAGGATTCAGGAAACATTTGAAAACAGTCTATATAATCATGTGTCTTCATGTATAATCCTTAAAACTTAAAAATTAATTAATATTTTTCTTTATAACAACCTTTTCTGTGACTTTTGAATCATTTAAATGTTAGTCTCAAGTTTCAGTCTACATTTTAAACTTTCCCAGCTTTTCACATACTTTACGGTATAGATTCCTTAACAATATTGTAAGAGTAAATATGACAAAAGACAATAATAAGTACATTTCTAACAATGTATTTCATTATTTTTATCTACTCTTAATTTGACAACATGTGGTGGGACACATTGTTGGTTCCTGGTACAGTATATTCACTGTTTT